CTAATACATTTAATAAGCACTGTATATATAAGCACTGTATATTCACCTGTTTATAGTTTTATGTATTTGGAAGTCAAGTATTTATTTTTCCATGTTCAGATGATGTCGTTGGATCAGGCTTTGTGTGCTCGGTGCTGCAGCCCCCGTGGGCTCCTGCACTGTGGTTGCTGGGTCTTTCTTTCTTTTTTATTCCCCCCCGACCCCTGGTCTTGTCTGTTATGGTTGTAATGATCCAAAATAAAAAATACTAATAAAATTCTAATAAAATATGACTGTCAAGTGCACCATTATAACAAATGCCATAATGCTCCACTTGTGAAAGTGAATCTGTTTGGCATTCAGAAACAGTTCTGCCGGACACGACAGCGAGAAGAAAAAAAAAGACTGGAGAAGGCTTATATACATTAATTTTTGCAGTGCACACAAGGTAGCTGACAGATTTAGCATTCCTGCTACATACTGGATCTGCTTCTAGACATGATGTCAAAATGTTGCTGCTTCAGCCTCTTTAACAGTGGCATATTTCTGAGATTTCCCCCGAGACAGACCAATATCTAAAACATATTCTGTTGCAGTCTGACAGGAAAAAAGACGAGCAGCTTATCAGTGACAACATCTGAAATACAAGCAAATCGTCGCAGCGACGTAAATATGTCCTCAGCTGTTACTGCGAGATGCCGAAATATTTGGAGACACAATATTTTTGTCATTTTTCATTGTGAGGTGAACTTGGACCGTGCACTGTGCAGTAAAACATGCAGAGCAATTATCGAGCATGTTTACAGTAACAGACAAACAAGAGTGCGGGTGTGTGAGACTGTGGGGAACAGTCGCTGATGATCAGCCACAACATCAAAAGCACCAAGAAGTCGATAACAAATCAGTAACATTGATCATCTCGTTATCGTGAGACGTTCTGCTGGGACCCCATCGTCCTGGCTTTCATGTGGATTTTACTTTGACACGTATGAAGGAAATAAGGCGATGAGACCTTTGTAAACAAAGGTGTCATGTTTGGTCCAGATACAGAAAATGGGCAACCAAACCAGTCTGACAATGCGATCAAAGAAGAGCTGATAACATGTCAGATGACTTGATACAGATCTGAAATCTGTTAAAGTCCCAAGTTGGACTTTATCCAGCTTCATCTTCAAACTGAAGCCAAAGTAGATTGCATCACTGAACACATTATTAGCAATCGTGTCTAAGTTTGTGTCAACAAAACTGACGTCTTTGTGTCTTTTGTGCCCGATTGCTCCTGATTTCTAGGAGTCGAGACTTCTAGAAATCCTGAAACCATAAACACCCACACAATACATTTTTGCCTCGCATACTTTTGAGACCTCAGTAAAACAGCTGTCTGAATCTACAAGAGTACATAAACTTTGCACACACATTTTAACACACACGTTCACACACACGTTCACACACACCACTTCACTCATGCTGCACAAACCACAGCGATCAGTGGCTCCCCATCAGTCCACACCACATTAGCGTTTCCCCGTTCATGTGCGGGTCAGCA